TCCATGCGTCTTTTCACTAAGCAACTCAAATCAAAATGAAGTTATTTTATGCTTGACTTACAGTTCGGACTGTCACCTTTCCAACGATATATAATATGTATATATTGTATTTCTTTTACGAGCGCCACTCTCAAACGATTCGAACGGCATCCAGCGGAATCGGGCACGAACTTATGCACTCATCCAATATATATATATATATACATATATGATTGGCGCTTTGTAACCGCTAAAGTGATTTTTGGCCGAGCTCCTCCTCTAATTTGATGTTTTTCCAACAAAATGGAGAAGCCTACCGTTTAAACTAAGCTCCCTCCGAACGGCTGATGGTTTTTTTATGAGGAGCCTTTATTTCATGTCAGAAATATACTCGGAGGGGTTGACACTCCCTGCCGAGGGGTGACCGCAATTAGAAAATTTAACTTAATTTATTACTTAAATTAATTTTCTATAACTTTTGAATGTTGGTGGCAGCGGGGTATGAACCCGAGCCATCCGAATGACAGTACGCAATGCTAACCACTCGGCTATCGCGGCCGCTTAAAAGAGAAGAATGAAGCAATAAATTCGATACTTCAATCGACAGTACTCAGATACATACTGATGGATCGAAACTGGGGCTGGAGGAAGTTTCTTCTCAATTTCAATTACGTTTTTCAAACTTTCAGTCATTGTGGATACAGTAAACTACATTGGAAAAGAGCTCACGGGCATTTTCAGCAATATACAGGCAGAGTTTCAGAAGCTAGGCTTGCTTACTTTCGCCTAGACTGTGGTCGATCTCCAAAGGAGCTTGTCAAATGGTGAAGATTAACCCCTTGGCGAGCTCTTGTAGGACCCACGGAGGTGATCTAGTGACGAATGAATTTATGAAGGAAACACTTCTCCATCCTGCTAAATGGCAGTCAAAATGAAACACCCGGAGATGGTGGACTCGAAGAAGACTATGGAAAAGATGTTCGGTTTTTCGCCTATGAAGAAGTCCGAATAGTAATCGCCCGCCTAAAGATTAACAAAGCGGAGGTAACCGATGGATTACCGGCCAAGCTATGCAAATATGGCGGTCAGTAAACAGGTGCATGCAACAGCTTCTTTGCAAACTATGGTCGGTGGAAAGCATGCCCGACAGTTGGAACCAAAGTGTGCCCTGTCCAATCCACAAAAAAAGGCGATTCCACAGTCTACGCCAATTACCGTGGAATAAGCCTTCTTAACATCGCATATAAGGTCCTATCAAGCGTATTGCGTGAAAGATTGAAGCGATTTTAAAACAGCCTTCGGCAGCACGTATAGGAGCTGCCTCTACGCCACTATGTTTGAATTTGATATCCTCGCAAAACTTGTACGGCTGTGTAAACTGAAGAGGCACTAAAAGCTCCGCCAGAATCGGGAAGACCTCTTCGAGCCGTTCGATACCAAACGAGGTTTCAGACAGGGTGGTTCCTTATTGTGTGACTTCTTTATTTGATACTAGAGAAAATAATAGGAGATGCAGAACTGAATAGAGAAGGTACAATCTTCTAAAAGAGTGTAGCGCTGCCAGCGTATTGGCCTCAACAACCGCGCCGTTAGTTATGCTTTCTCCAGACTCGATAAAGAAGGGAAGCAAATGGGTCTGGTAGTGAACGAGGGCAAGACGAAATATCTCCAGCCATCAAACAAATAGTCGCCGCATTCACGACTAGGATTCCAAGGCATTGTTGACAGTCACAACTTTGAAATAGTCTTGGAACTTCGTCTATTTTGGAACCAGTACTAATACCAACAACAATGCCAGCCTGGAAATCCAACGCAGAATTTCTATTGCCAAAAATTGCTACTTTTGACTAAGCAGGCAATTGAAAAGTAAAGTCCAACAAAAACCAAACTCTTCAGGTCGCTCATCATACCTACTACAATATATGATGATGAGTCGGCTGTAGGAGTCTTCGAGAGAAAAATTTTCAAATGATTTATGGTCCTTTGCGCAATGGCAACGGCGAATATTGTAAACAATGGAACGATAAGCTGTATGAGCTATATGGCGACATTGACATAGTTCAGCGAATGAAGAGACAGCGGTTAAGCTGGCTAGGTCTTGTCGTTGGAATGGATGAAAGCACTTCAGCTTTGAAAGTATTCGATGCAGTACCCGCTGGTGGAGGTAAAGGAAGATGAAGACCTCCACTCCGTTGGAAGTATCAGCTGGAGAGCGACCTGGCTTCACTTGGTATTTCCAACAGGCGCCAAACAGCGAAAAGAAGAGGCGAATGACGCGCTAATATTGATTCGGCTATAATCATGTATGCGGTGCCAACGCTAATAAAGAAGAAGAAGAACTCATCAGCTCAAATTATTTTCCCAATAAAACAATTTTGAATGATTTTTTATTGTTTTTTAATTAAAAATAGAATCGCACTTTAACAAACGCTAATTATACACATTTTATTTATTACATTTTAATTATTTTGATGTATGCTTACATACATACTTACATGCAATATTATGATAGGTTTAAGTTTCTTTATAACTACATACAAATGTGCATATTTATGTTTATTTGTGTGACAATTATTTTATTACTCACTACGTATATACATTAATTTTTTTCCCATTACTTAGAATTGTTTTATAAATATATTTATTCAGAGCATTTTGTATAAACCTTTTCCTCTTGGCTCTTACTGTAGTGACGGAGTTAAACTCTTTTAATTACTTAGCTAAGAGAATTTTTTTATTAATTAAATGTTGGCTATTTATTCAATTATTTATTTTTTTAATATGTATGTTTTAGCGTTAAATTTTATAAATGCCCAGAAAATTAAGTGGTGAAATTTCGAGTGGAAAAAGGCCAATTATAAATTTTACATTTTTTTTTAAGTAAAAAAATTTGTTTTGTGTAATTTTTAAAAATATTGAATTCATTAAGATTATGTGGAAATTTTCAGAATAAATTTACATTTTCAATTTAAATTGAATTTTCGCATATATTATCTGAAACCAATGCTAAAGTATTGGATTTTGAGTATAAAGTGCTCATTGGTATATAAATAAATATATTCATATATTAATTAAATAATTTAATTATATTTATTTATTTTTTAAAATTTTTTTTTAAATAATATAAATAAATTTCCGTATTATTTATTTATTTAAATTAAAAAAAAATCATATTCGTAAATTCTGCGTTTAAGTTTAATGCTTTAAGAGAGCTTTAAACAGCTTTAAAATTTTAAATATATAAATTCCTTTCGAGCTTTTACTTTACCATATAATAACTAGAAAATCCTTTCAAAAAACACTTTTCAAAAATTCGCTATGAGTTAACTTTACTTTAGTTTTACTTAATACATATGTATGAATTTATATATTTATTAAACTATTTTTTATTTATTTCAACTTATTTGTGTAAGCTTAAAGCTTTGACTATTTTGACTACTACTTTTCTCTCATGACACATGCTCAGGAGTCAAAAACACATGCGTCCATACTAATATAGTTTTGAATACTTGGTTACAATTAATAGGTCCTTGCAGTTTCATATTTATAAAGCAAATAAAATTTTGAAAAGCTTTCCAGCGTTTTTCACTAAAAACTCATACAATATTTTCGTATAATAACTTTTTGACAATTCTTTTTACAAAAATGCTGAATGACTAATCACAAAATAAAGTAAAAAATTCTTTAGAATAGTAAGTTACTAGATTCTTGTGATCTTCGTAGTAAAGAACAGTTTTATTTGTGTCTCTTATACTTTATGCCAATATAAAAAAAGGTTAAAAATAATATGTTTAGCCTTTACTAGTTTTTACATATATTTTACTTACTCGCAATGTGAAATTCTATATTTTAATTTTCATTTATTTATATATATTTTTTTTACAAATATTAAGCTTAGTAGTAAGAAATATGTATATTTTTTTTAATATACCCATACTGAAGACATGAAAAGACCAAGCATATTCCTAACCCTTGGTGCTCGTTTCATTATCGATTTAATAAAAATATAAAATTAGAACTTTTTTTTTAAATTTAGGAATATATAATAAAGCGAAAGAATAATAAAAAAAGGAATAAGAAAAAACGAGCTCATCGTTAAATTTGTGACTTTCGTCTTGGCACTTCTTTGCTGCACAGGGTGTTTCACGAAAACATCAATTTGAATGCTCCGAAGAAAGACGAACTCACCATTCGGATCTACGTTTCTTTACATTCAAGTTGAGCGTTTAAGAAAAGCTCTAAATAACAACAATGTTTGTTTGACAATCTGTCGGTGATACCCTTCACGTAACTAAAGTATTATTTAATATATTTCGAGCAAAACGAACTTGGTTTCAGGCCACTGAGCTATGTCCGGAAAACAAAAGCATTCCATTTAGGCATATCATCCAAAAATTTCATCACAACGAACCATCGATATGTATATTTTTTTAAATGGATTGATCCACTTCCGTAAAAAAAAAAAGAATTTTAAATGAATCGAATCAAAATTAACGATATATAACGAATAGTTCGGATCCTGGGTGACTTCCGGAGAGAAGAGTAGTCTACCTAAGACTCAAAGCGAAAAGCAAAATAATACGACTTTTTCCGAATAGGTGAGCCCCTAGTCCAGCTCTAGAAAGAATTTTTAAGTATAAACCTTCCTTGGAGCCATGTAAAACAATCTGTCCAAACTTTAAGTTAATCGGTGAAAAGCTTACGGAGGAGGATTATATTAAAAAAAAACTAAATAAAGTTGCAGCTCAGATATATTTGTTACTTACATACCCACAATTATACCCAGTCTGATTTCGGCTAAGCTCTTTAAGTAGGTTTTTAGAAATATAAAACCCCAGGCATTTTTTCAACACAAACTGCCTCACGTGTTTTGAATAGTTTTCTGGTAAATATAGAAGAGTGATAAGAGTGATAATCGTATACCGTAATATGGTCTCATTCGTTTAAAAGTAATAAAAAAATATATTTAAACTGACTTACTACAGCGCCCTCTAGCGTGACATTTTTTAATATGTATTTTTTGAATATCGAAACTTTCTAACACACTTCAAACTAAATCGTTAGTCATTTTTTGGCCGCAGTAGCCGAGTGATTAGCAGTAAATGCAACTATGCGGAGGATCATGAATTCAAAGCCTGGGCAGTGCAGCAACTGAATAATTTCAATTTGGTCTTACAAGGAGCCAGCATTAACATCTATATCTATAATAAAGTCACCCTTTAAATTTAATGTAGGGACACTCTTGCCAAAAGGTGCTATTTTGAGCTGAGTAGGCAATTGAAAAGTAAAGTCTTCACTCTACAAAACAAAATTAAAACTCAAGAAGCTTCTCATCATTCCCATCCTGATTCGTTGCAGAGCGACCTGGTGTCACTAAGTATTTTCAACTGGCGCCAAAAAGCGAAGAAAAGGAACGAAAGACACACCACCACCTAGAGAAGTTTAAACAAAAACTTGTGATTGTATCTGCTAAGGTCGACCATAGCCAGTAGAGCTTTTAGCTTTTATTTTGTTGTATGCAAGTATAATCATAAATGGTGTTCAAAACCGCTAGGGCATGGAAATAGGACGGAATATCTTAAAACAGAGGTGAAGAATTTATAAAGTGACATAGGAACGCTGAGCATAACAAGGGTTAAAAATAAATAAAAAGTTTTCGAATTCTTTTTGAATTTTGATAGAATGAGCCAAACTCGCATGCCAAATGCATGAATGAATAGTATAAATTTTATAAATAATTTCCAAACTTTTTCTTTCGTCACATATATATTTTTTATTTAAATAATAATAAATCCTTCCCGGATATGAAAACCGTATTGAAAAATTATCTTAAAACATTTCTTAGAGCATTAAAAGCTTTCCATTTCCTATTTGGAAATGATTTTGCGTATGAAATTGTCTATTTCCTTGGTTCAAAAATCAACTTTCTCAACTCAATCATGTTTGAGTAATACGAAAATTTATGTATCTTCACAGATATGCGTATACATGCATACATATGAAAGTGTAAACGCTGTAAATATGTATTTATGTACATTCGTGCGCTTAAAAGCTTTTAACTAACCAAATGATTTCCTTATTTGTGCGAGTTTTACATATACATACATACCTATCATACATACATTCATACAAGCACACATACGTGCATACATACACATATGTATATTTCTTGTTTGGTTGTTTCTCACTCGAATTGCCGCTCCATTGCATTGCCCGAATTACTGCTGCCGGCAGCACATTGCAACAGTCTGTCGAGTGTCGCGCTAATGCGTTTCTGCTGTTGTTGTTGTTGTCGTTGTTGTTGATATAAGCACTGTTGCTGTTGCTTCTGGTGTTGTGTGCTCCCATGTGGATGTGGCGTGATTTTCGTCGAGTTACTTAAATGTCAATGCGATGTCATTATGATGACATCCGGCGCTGAATTTCTAATGTCTATGTAAGCAGTCGATTGACTTAACTTCGGCTTGGCTTTTCCCTGAGCTGGCGTCGCCGTTGATGTCGCGGTTGACCTGCCACCGCCGCCACCACCGCCATCCGTCGCACTCTCTGACAACTGTTGCTGGTGTTGATGCTGTGTTGATTGTTGTTGTTGTAGTTGTTGTTGCAATGTTGATTGCTGGCGTGATTGCTGTTGACTGTGTGCGTGCGTATGTGCATGTTGATGATGATGATGGCACATCTCCGCCGTCGACACAGCCGGCGTGGGCGGTGTGGGTGGCAAAGCATTCATGCGATGCATATGTGGCATGCCCGGCTTGGGTGCAGGATGTCGCTCTCTCATCTCGATGTAGCCTTGTGCGTCGCGTATATTTAAACCCGTTAGTTGAGCACGTTGATGAGGCGCGCTTGTTGCTGGTGCCGATGGAGCTGGCGTGGGCTGTTGTGCACCCTCATAGCCAAATGTGGAAAAACGCGAGCGTGAGTGTAGACTAGCCTTGTCCTTAAGCGAGCCCATCGAACTCTGATGCATCAATGGTGCGGCGAAAAGCGACTCGCTGCAAGCAGAGGAAAGCGTGGAACATGTCAAACTCATTGATTGCTAAACAAACATTGGGCACAAGTGTGCAAATATGCAAATACATGCTGTTATGCGCATATGAATGAATGCATATGAGTGGTTGTGTGTGTGCGTGTGTGTTAAGTGCGCATAGTTATACAGTTATGTGTATGAGAAGCTTGTTGTTATTGAGCTTGTATGTTTCACTGCTATCATCTTACCGCGTCTGACAGCCCATATCACAGGCATTTGCCGCCATCGATGCCTCCACCGTCGTGCCGGAGCTGTTGTCGTCAACGCAAAAGCTTGTCTGCACCACCATGTCGTTGCGATGCCGGAGTATGCTGTGCTCACGTTCCTTGAGATCACTTTTGCTGCTGGCGCGCGACATGGGCACTACTTCGCGATAGTAGCGATTCGATGTGTCGTCAAGAATTTGCAAGGATGTCTGCGAATGCTTGGGTCTGTCGTGCGGTGAATGGAAGAGGGGAGAAGGGAGAATGTGTCAGTTAACAATGTACCAACTATGCACTATTGCATTGTATTGCTCTGCATACAACTATGATATCAAGTTATTGCAAATTACAAATTCTATGGCACATAACTGTATTGCTAGCTAACGCCTGCACTTACCTCGACATTGTGCTCGATAAATTCTCTCTTGAGCGCGCCTTTGAACTGCGGCCCAACTCATTCAGCTTACTCTCCTTCGATTGGCGTATGTGTTCCTGTAAATTTAATTGAAATCAAGAACTCAACCAAACAACAACAATGTATATACATATGTATGTATATGCTGCTGGCTTTTGTGTAGACAAATTTATTTATTTTACTCTTACAAATAACTGTGTTGGACATTTGCAATAATATCTTGTTGTTAGAGCGTAGGAAAAACGTTAGTTTAAAACAGGAGCAGTGGAAAGGCACTTACAAATGTACGCAGTTGATATGTGTGTATAAGTAGGTATTTAAATACGAAATATATATATATATATTTTGCTAATATTGAAAATTATAGGTTTGTGTACTAAAAATGTCAATAATATAATTTTTTAATCATACATATTTACAATATTAGGTAAAAAAACCTTCTGGGTATATTAAAAATGTTAATCGCAAAGAATTTAAAGAGAGAACTTTCAAGAACTTATTTCGTACACTTTTGCTTTAAATATTTTGTATATAAATTTCAATTAAATTTTATTTCAATTTTTAATTTTATTTATTTCATATTATTATCAATTCCTTAAATTAATTTTTTTATATCTCATTTTTTTCCATTTTACTTTAGAAATTTAGAGTTGTTTTGTATTAATTCTTATTATAGTTTAATTTTTTAAATTTTATTTTCATTTAATATACTTTTTTTTGGTTTTATTTATTTTATTTTCTTAAATAAAGTTTTTTATACTTTTTAAATTTAGCACTATTTAATTTATATTATTTCTTAATTTAGTTACATTATTTTAAATTTTATTTTTATTTTAAATTATTTTATTTGGGTTATGCTTCTTTATTTAAAAAAAAAAAATATTTTTTTTTAATTGTCATATTATTTTACTTTATTTTGTTTTATTTCATATTAATGTAACTTTTGGTGGACTTAATTTAAATTGCTTCATTATATTATCTTACTCTATTATATTTTACTTCTTTTATTTTAAAAACTATTTACTTTATTTATTATTATTATTTTATTTTGTGTAATTTGTTGCAATTTAATTTAGTCAATTTTTCTTTATTCTAAATCAATTTATTTAATTTAATTTATGTTAGTTTTATTCACCATTCATTTTTTAAATTTTTATTTGCGTTAGTTTATTTAATTTTTTTATTTATACATTTACATTATGATAAAGTATCTTAATTTTTTTTAATTTCTTCGATTCGTTTACCCTGAAACTGTTTATTTTATTATTTTATTATTAGCTGCTATTTTTTATCTTGTATTATATTATTTGGTTTTAGTTTGTTTAATTTAATTCAGTTAAATTTTGTTATATTGATTTTATTACAATTACTTATTTTTTTAATTTAAAATCATTTAGCTTTTTTAGTTTATATTTTGTTTAGTTTATTTAACAAAATTTGACATTACTATTTATTAGTTTGTTTTATTTCTTTTTTTATATTTTTTCCCACTTTTAATTTCTTTATTTCATTTTATTTCATATAATTTTTATCTAATTTTTATTCATCCTCCTATATATATATTTATATTATTATTATTTATTTTAGTTATTTTTATTTACTTTAGTTGGAATTTTTTCATTTTATATTATTTTGTTTAATAAAAAGTTAAGATTTGTTTATTTATTTTATTTTATTTTAATCTATTTAATCTTTATTGATTTTGAATCATCTTACTTATAATATTTATTAGAATATAAAATTTATTAGAATATTGTGTTTCATTCTTGTTTTATTTCTTTTTAATTTATTTTATATTATTTAATTTAGTTTAATTCAATTTAATTTAATTTTATTTTATTTAATTTACTTTAGTTTAATTTAATTTAATTTAATTTAATTTAATTTAATTTAATTTAATTTAATTTAATTNTTTTATTTTTTATTTTATTTTATTTTATTTTATTTTATTTTATTTTATTTTATTTTATTTTTTTATTTAATTTTATTTTATTTAATTTTATTTTATTTTATTTGATTTTATTTGATTTTATTTTATTTTATTTTATTTTATTTTATTTTATTTCATTTTATTATATTTTATTTTAATGTGTTTTATTTAATTTAATTTAATTTTTTTTAACTTAATTTAATATACTATAATTTAATTAGTTAAGTTTCATTTAATTAAAAACAGTGTAGTTAAATTTATCATCATTTAGTTTTAATTAATTCTATATTACTTATATTTTTTATTTTACTGATTTTTTCAGTTATTTTTATGTCAATTAATTTTCTGTTTATTATTTCTTTTTTGCAGCATCAGTATACATATTTTTTTGCTTATTACGAGCTTTTTGGTGGCTAAGCAAAGTTATATTATTTAACAAACAAACCTTATGGACAAAGAGAAGCGATTTGGGATTATGGGTGAAATATAAAATTGCGGAAATATTTTTAGAACTGTACTTGAATAAAAAATAATTGGCACATATTTCTATATAATATTTAAATGTCCTTAAAAATTAAAAAATGTTGTTTTGAAAAAATAATTTTTTATTTGTTGAAAATTTCCAGTTGGTTTCCAATTCTTAGATTTCTTTCATTAAACTTTCATATTTTTCTGTGTATATGTATATAAGTAAATGTTTTTGTTTATTGTACTTTTTCGCTTTCTGCAGACTCGACGTTGCTCATGTTCAGCTCCACTGAGGGTTGTGTTAATCATATATTTTTTAATTCTAAACTATTTTAATATGAAAATGCAATTATTTTAAGTAATTGGAAATACAAATTGAATGAAGAAACTTTTTACGAACTAGCGCAAACTTTCTGCTTTATGTACATTTTCCCTATTTCTATTTGTTTCATTTTAAATTGCGATGTTTCTTTAAATAAGAATTCATTGAAGAACATTTTCATATGAAACAATTTTCGGAGAACCAATGGTATTTCAAAGTGTAGCAGATAATCAAAATTTATTTCAGTGAATATATGTATATATGTATGCCTATTAAGATCATTAAAAGCCTAACAAAGCTTCTCAGGTATACCAATGTACTCGTAGGTATTCCCGTTGGTACACGTTAATCCTGGCCTACTGACGGCCTCAAGTACCATTATATGCATACACAGTAATTAAAATATTTTGTTTATTTTATGAATGTATTTTATGTGGCTATATATATTTATGTATAAATGTGAATCAAATATTTTAAAGCGTTGATTATTTAAAGTGAATTTAATACAATTAGGGCAGGGAAAGTCATGTTGAAATTATACACAATTCGATATTAATTAATAAGTATGCAAATACATGTATAAAAAAAAATACATAAAAGAATAATAAATTTATTTTAATTAAATAACAAAGTTAGTCAGTGCGTATAAGCAACCTATACAAATCCGAATTAATTGTCCTGGCAACTACCTTGTCCTGTGCTTCGAAATCCCATAATACACTCTACACATATAGCACTCAGCAATAAAAAAGCGGTAAATGTTAGTGTTGTACTCAATTTTTTTTGTTAAAGAATACTATGATTGTTTTTAATCCTTTATTTGCAGTTATTATATCGCTCAATCAATATATTTATTATATTTATGTTAAAAATTAAATATTTTTTCTTTTGATAATTTGTTATAAATCCTGATTAACTTCATTGTTTCTTAAGCATATTAATTTTGTGCATGATTTGTTCCCTTATGCTATAGTTTTTATGCATCGAACATTATTTGCAAATAAAATGACACAAACANAAAATAAATAAAATAAAATTTAATTGAATAAAATAAAAACACAAATAAAATAGTAAAATGAAATCAGATTAAATGTATTCTAGTAAGTATTGTTGCCATATTTAGGGAAAAGACGAAATTGATTGATTTATTCCAAATATATGAAGGTATTGGTTTTGGTGACGAAATACCTTAATAGTTATCTTCCCTTTAAAAATTATAATATTTGTTTTCTTAATTCTTTAAAAATTTGTAGTATATCTACATATATTTTTTTCACTTTATCCGGTTTTTTATGATTTTAGTTTTCTAATAGCGCGCTTTAATCTATGTTCACAATAAAATCCTAAAACTTAATTCTCGCATAACATCACTTTTTAGCGTTAAACGCAACGCTTGATTTGTCTTGTGGGCTTAGTTTGTGGCAGTTGTCGGTGATGATTTAGAGGAAGTAATTGAATCTGTTGAAACCGGTGTCACATCATATCCATAGCCGTTCGCCAGCACGACCTCTGGTGGGTAGTTGCTGTTGTCGCCCGTCAACGGATATTCTAAGCCATTTCGATTAGTTACAATAACGAATTCATCGTCATTGAAATTGACGATGTTCGGATGGCAAGTGTATGCGGAACAGGAACCATTTACGTTATCACAATTCAAGCCATGAATATATAAATTATCATTGCCATCCTGCTTGTAGTTGGTTGCGTGACACCCAGCGTGATACCCACCGACGCCGACGCCGACGCTTAAGCCTCTCTGATTGCTATAGTGGCTATTTAAGACGCTACCACTGCCACTGCCACTGCCGCTGCCGCCACTAAAACTGTCATTACCATTACTCTGACTTTGGGTTTGGCTGCACGGGATTTGCCTTTGACCATTACGATTGCTATTGTCATCGCGCTGCTGTTGTTGTGATTGTGGTTGTGCTTGCTGGCTACTGTGTGGGTGTGGCTGATATGCCAGCTGGTGATTCTGTTGCTGCTCCTGCTGTTGTTGTTGCAATTGTTGCCAATTGTGCTCAGACATGTAATCGTTTTGCAAGCCAACAAATATTGCCGTCTTGGGTGCATCCCAGATGAATGAATCGATGTGATAAATATCGCTGGCGTGCGGCAAGGGTACCTCCTGCGGATAAAGCAGAGCAGAGCAGAGCAAGAAATGCACGAGACGAGACGAGACAACAGAGTAAGTGTGTGAGTAGTAAGTAAGTGGTGGATGGATGAGTGTAAAAGAGACAGAGAGAGTGTGAGTCACACATTTTTACATACAAACACAATGGTCATTGGTGGGAGAGTGGGTACAGGAGCAGCAAGGGAAGGGAATACATTTTAATATATGAGTATCTGCATGTACG